GGGGGGGGGGGGGGGGGGGGGCGGGGGGGGGGGGGGGAAGCAGTCTGCTCCAGTGAGCCATGCCATCCCTGCAACCTAAATAGTGTTATTAGTAACTAGTAACATACAATATTTTTAGTTTAACGTTATTTGTAAACCACTGGGGTTTTTTTTGAAAATCACAGCGCACCACAATAAAAGCAAAAATATTAAAACAGCAAAAAACAGCCCGTATTAAAAATCAAGCAGAATATAGACCTGCAGGGCATCCTAAAGAAAGTGAATAAAAGCAACAGCATGAAAGGGAATCCAAAAGAGTCCTTTTTCTGCACACTCTTGCAAAAACAAAAGGGAGGACCCAACACGTGCTGCTTTCAGAAAAGGCGGCCACCACAATGGGGCTACCTGTCTAAGGCCACGCTCCTGGCAAAGCCAAGGCCAGCCACCTCTCTGCAGAAGATGAGCCATGGGCTGCATTTCCCCAGAAGCCTTGTAATGGCAGGGAAGAAGGGAGCAGAGAGGCCTTGAAGCAAAGGGAAGGGCCTCTCGTTCACCTGACCCACCTTCAGCTGGGTGCCTTTCAAGTGTCCCAACAGTCGGTGAATTTAGAGATCAGCCAGGCATCCCTAAAATCAGTGGTGGCTTCTTTGACTAATATATCCTTCCCCAACTTGATGTCTTATAGAGATGATCAAGCACAACTCCCTTAAGAGCCAGTTCAGTGTAGTGGTTCAGGCACTGGGCTAGAGACCAGGAGATGGTGAATTCTAGTCCCACGTAGGCACGAAGCCGGCTGGGTGACCGTGGGCCAGTCACTCTCTCTCAGCCCCAGGAAGGAGGCCAGGGCAAACCACTTCTGAGAAACCTTGCCAAGAAAACGGCAGGGACTTGCCCAGGCAGTCCCCAGCAGTCAAGACTGACCCAAAGGAACGAAACAAAAAACAAAACCCACCCCCAACTTCCAGCTAGTACAGCTACTAATGGAACCTACAGTCCAATGCAGTAAGAAGGCACAGAAGAGGGAGTAGCTAGGATGAATTAAATAGTTTAGCATTCCTAAGTAATTTAACTTCGTTTTTCCCTTCTTAAACAACTTTCTATTATTGGTCAGTGGAAGCTTCCCAAAGCTTAAAGGCTGTGGCATGTTACAATATTAAAACATGCACAAGTACCAGCAAAATAAAAAAGTAAAATTCAGATAAAAGTAAAACGCAGCTCTGTTTAGAACAAGGATCAGCAGCAACAGAAAACTTTATATTGTGGGTGCAAAAGTGTGTTTTTTTTTAAGGAATTTAAAATAATCTAAAAATAAAAGGGTCAAAAATCTCACCAGATCCTGTATCATCTGAGATCTCCTGCAATCAATCCCTCTCTTTTATCCTTCCTTTTCTATTTATCATTTACTATATATTTTTGCATAATAATGACTAAAGATTTCAAAAAGTCACCAGGTGTTGAAATGCTTTGGCAAAAATTTCCTTGTTCACATTTAAATTGGAGAATAGATTCACAACTTTAGGCAAACCTCAGCTAAATCTCAGCACTTTAAAATCCCCCCCCCCAATTTCAATTAACTAAGAGATAGTTAAGCATCTACTTTGATTCTTCTCTCAAAATAAGTGGAGTTTAAATGCTCCTCAGCTTTAGCAGGGTGTTGTCCATTTTAAAGATGATGGGAATATCTCAAATTGTTCCATTAGCCATTATAAGGATAGACGATATTTAAAAAGAGATCAGACTTTTCTTTGTACAGTGCAATTACTGTTTAGGACAGGAGCTGAGGATAGTACTTCTCAGCAATGGCTATAAGGCATGTTTTGCCATTAAGGAAATGACTGTAGTTAATGACAGGTAATTAAACAAGAGTCAGGAGCAATTTCAGACATGGTTAAATCACTGCTAGGGAGGAAGGAAGGCCTATGGTCATGGATGTCCAGCTGCTAATCTGAAGTCTACTAGAGTGAAGCCATGGCTAATTAAGAGGACATGTCTTTTAAATCTCAAAGCTCAATGTTCAGCCCCAGCATCTCCTCAGAGAGTTGGTGGAAGATTTTACTCTCTCTGCTTGAAATCCTGAAGCACTGCTGATGGTCAGAGTGGACCATATCGGCTGGATGAGCCTCATGGTTCAATGGTCTGCAGTAAAAGCCCACTTCCTAAGGTCCTGAGCAACACAATAGTACAAGTAAAATAATAATAAACACAATAACAAGAGTGAAAAAGCATTTTGTAAGCTGCAATACAATGTACAGGTGATTAAAGATGGATCAAGTGGACAATTTCACAGCACGTTGCTTCCAGGCTTCTCAACTGTGAAGATGAGATGCCCCAACCAATAATGAAATGTCAATAATGCATGGCAGAAAGTTCATTATTTGATGTCATGCATACATGCACACGACTTTCAGCAAAATTAATGACTTTTAATTGATCTTCATTATTAAAAACTGTATTGTTTTCATTTTTATATTTTATGTACTGCATTTTTCATTATTGTAAGCCACCTTGAGCAGTGTGGACAGAAGGGTAGGGTACAAATTTAATTTTTAAAAAAGGGTTATTTATATTATTGGTCTTGGGCACCCAACCCCCAGGATACTTTTTGTTTTTGTGATAACCCCTGCCTCCAAGCCCTTTGTATGCAGCATCTCCCAAGCAACAGAAACACCGTTTCCTACCAATTTTTAGTAGGGAAACAAAAGAAAATCTTTGTGTTGAGTTTTCAGATATCGTTAATGCACTTAGAAAACCAGGTAGGGTGGGGGAACAAGGTGCATGCAGTTGTTTAAAACAGAAAAGAAATGAGCCCCAAATTCCACCCTGCTCTCTTTGGTGACCCCATGAAGCTACTGCCATGCCTTTGGTGAAATAAAAGTAAATTGAAAAGCGGCCAAAAAGCTGTCCAGCAATGCTCTAATTTGAAAAGCAGGCCTCAAGAGAAAATGCAGGTGTTGCCTTAGCTTTGGGTACAGTTCCCCCCAAGACTCCCCCTGCCCCTCCAGCCTGCCAAACGCACCACATTGGGCGGAAGTTTATGGCCGGGCAAATACTTGGAGTTCTCATGCTGTGTATTGATGATCTCGGTGAGCTTCTGGCCAGCCACCACCTCTTCAAACACCCACATGTTCACAGTGGTGTCAAACTTATCCAGTTTGGCTGCATTACTGCCCACAATCTTGGCAATAGCTGAACCCCTGCAGCAGGAAGAGAGACAGAGATGCAACCCTCCTTCTTTGCTGGGCTACATTTCCCCCCACATTCTTCTACTGCAAGACCAGAATTCTAGCAAGAGTCTCAGCTTGGAGAGGACCATAACGTAAGGACAGAACCACCTGGGATTATTTTCAGAGTTCACCCCCAACAGCTTTCTCAGCTGGATGTACCGTTCCATCTAGCATCCCTCCCTGCTATCCACTTTGGTTGTGGCTGCTGGGAGTTGCAAGTTCAGCAGAGCCTGGGAGGTCATGGTGCAACAATATGCTCAAAAACAGCTGGGAATCATGTAGCAGCCAGCTTGAGTGGCCCATAGATGGAAAGGCAGGTCCAAATTGAAATAACAAGACTAACAAAAAGCAATTATTTCATGAATTAATGACAACTTGCTTTGGCCATGAACAGTGACCCTGGGTTGGTTGGTCATATCCCTGATGGAGTGGATTTTAATGTTAAAATAAGTGCATTTGCTTTTCAGGTGCCATAAAACTCTCCGTTCTTTTTGCTGCAACACACCAGCAGAGCTGTACAGGGAGAAAACTCCAAGAGCTCAAAAATTAATTAAAAACAGACGCACCGATCCCGTCAGATCATTCATTACCAAGAAACTACATAGAAGACTCCGGAAACGTACACATTCTTCTACCATGGAGAGAAAGAATTTTCAAGCAGAAGCAGACACACATTTTTATGTACAACTTCACACAAACAGTTCTCTCCACAACCCTACAGCTATAGGCATACATATCTTTGTGTCAATGGCAGAGAAGAATGAAGAATGCTGCTGATGGTCTGGTGCTCAAGAGACAAGTTGGATTTAAGTACTTGTCTTCCACTAAAGAGCACAGGACCTGAAATGTAGCCGAGCTGAAGGGCAACCAAAGATAGACCGTGCAGGGAAGAGGCTGATCCAGCTAGACTGCCACCACCAAGCAACTGGCAGAGAGGACACAAGTTGAAAGCAAAGTCAAAGCCACTCAGATGGGACACTTAATGCACCTAGATAGAGGTATTATCCTGCAGGACTTGAGCTGACTTTGAGGGACTGGAGATCAAACTCTCAAGAATTTTGTTTTATAACCAAACGGAATGATTCATTGGGGTTACTCGGTGGCAAAAGAACCTGCTCAATAAGGTGCAGTACTGCCCTATACTGAGTACAGGTCGCAAAGCCAAAGGGTCTGCTGACCCAGGACGAGGGCAGTTGTAGCCCAGAAGACCCCTGAGTATCTGGAAGGTACCGGGTTGGGGAGAACCGATTCTGTGGGATAAAGCTGCACGTCTAGGACTTGAATGCATTAAAAGTGCAAATGGGAGCTGTGCTGCCACGTAGCTGTACCTATCGCTTCTTTTCAGAGTTTAAGTTAAAGAGGAGGAGGATTTTATCCCCTGATACTCACCCAGGAAGCATCTCGCAGCAAAATGCATAAAACCCAGGGCACCTTTGATCGCATGTGCCCTGGCAGAAAAAAGCTCCCTCGTGTCCTGTGCTTGTGTTCCCACAAACATGGGTTCAGGGAGCAGCCCTTGCGCGGTGTTCCCCGCAACACCTGTCGGCCTGCATCGCTCAAGGCGGTGGTCTCTCGGTCATGATTCCGGAGCTACCCGCTCCCCTGCCCGCCCTCTCTCCAGAAGAGCGGGCGAGGGCAGCCGGCGAGAGCGCGCCGCAGGGGCGCCACCGCTCTGAAGGCCGGGCGGGCGCCCTTTCGGTCTGGTGCAGCAAAACAAGCCAGAACTCCTTCGTGGCACATGCGGGACGAGCGTCGCGAGCGTCCGCTTCATCGGCTGCATGAAGCGCAATACCTTTCTAACGGAGGATAACACCCCGTGCCTCCGATGACGTTTAATCCGCGAACAAACGGGGATCCTCAAGATGCCACAGAGCTCTTCGTCGCTCGTGCCATCCGTTCCCTATTTTACGACGACGCCCAGCAATCCCAGCCTTTCCTCGCCTTCCCCCACCTTCCTTTTCCGAACCCGCGGGCCTCTCCCCGGCCCCCTCCCCTCGCTCGCCGCCAGGCCCAGGCGCCCCGGCCCGCCTCAACGCACCAGTTGCCGGAGCCCACGATGCAAACTT